CAGTACACCCTTACTTCCATATGAATTCAGAGGATATGTAGCAGTCAGGTGCTCCTAATCAGATTCACTTGATTGATCGTCAGTAAGTCTGAGCACATCAATAAAGACAGACATTTGCTATTCTGGCGCATTCAAGTGTGCGTCAACAAAATCTTGCCTGGAGTGGACATCACAGCATCACAGTCCTTAGGACTTTTTTTTTTTTTAACCTCATTCCATCCAGATTGAAGAAATTTTAATAAGTAACTGAGTTGTATAGTATTATCTTTCAGAGAAGCCAGTGGTTACCTCATTGATGCAAGGGTATGTTGTGCCTGTGGTATAGCTTGTATGGTAGTCTTTCTTGGTTTTGTATTATCTTTGTCTGTATACGGTGGCTGGGAAGTGCAAGTGATTACATCCTTGCATTACATACTTTAGGTTCATTTTCTGCAGGCAGGTTTCTGAAAGAGAACAGGCAGATTTAGAATATAACATGCAGCGTTCTATAGATGGATGCATTAAAAAAAAAAGGAAAAATTACATGTATGTGCTCACTTTCTAAACACTTTGTTACATTTATGATAAATGGATTAGAAAGTAGATAAAACACATTTATGTCAGCCTTGGCTCATAGTTCTTGTCTTTAAATTAACTTTGTATGTTTCAGGTACTGCACTCTCAAAGACTGAATGAACCAGCATTGCAGCCATGGGTCATTGTGAGCATCACAGGGAAGGTTGAAGCCGCCCACTGCACCTGTATGGCCGGAGTCGTGGAGACCTGCAGCCATGTCACTGCTCTTCTGTTTAAAGTAGAAGCAACGGTGTTGATCCGTGGCACAAGGACTGTTACAGATGAACCTGCATACTGGGTTTTGCCTGGTAATATGACCAAGATACAGCCAGAGGTTGGCCATAAGATAGACTTCTCCTCTTCAGCTGCCCAAAAAAAGGCTCTCGATCAAAACATAAACAGACCATCCGTATTGAAAGGTAAAAGGAGCCGTCCTCAAAAAAGAAAAATCCCGCCTGCTACTGTGGAGGAGTTGTCACTGCTATTGGATACTTTGCTGGAACGCAGTAAAGCTGTGGGTTGTGGGAATGACCCATAATGTTTTATCTAGGGGTCTAGATTTATGCCTGTAGTGCACTGCTGTGTAAATAATTTGCATTTACTGAATATGTACTGACTGAGTACCACTGTTCAAAAGTTGAATAAAGAAACAAACCAATTTTTGCCTTTTTAAAAAAAAATTAAAACCACTTTATAGAAAATGACAAAATGTTTACACAAAATCATGACAGCGTTTACACGATATCACCCACTACTAACACTACTTAATTTACTGTATCTTTTGAAAAATTACCGCTATTTATACAGCACAAGACTTAAGAATATTTAACAAGAGCAAGTTTCATTTTTCCCTGGTTTTACTACCACACTGTTCACCAAAATGCAGCAAACCTTCACCATCTTATCCAGAAGGGTCACCTCTTCACCCTCACACGGAATAAGTAATCTGATTGGCATGGTGGTATGTTTGAAGCAGGGATTTCGGAGTGCTCATTGTGTAGCACTGGAACCCAGTCATGATGTGTTTAATCCATTTCATAGGCTGGTTTGCCTGCAATAATGCCAAATAATTAGCAACTCTATAAATACAACGTAGTTCTGCCAAATCACTCATTAGGATGTTTGTTCTAATTTCCTTCGCAAATAAAACTAATAGGCTATAAAGAGTCTTTCTGTGTGGAGTTTGCATGTTCTCCCCGTGTTTGCGTGGGTTCTCTCCGGGTACTCCGGCTTCCTCCCACCGTCCAAAGACATGCAACTTGTGGGGATAGGTTAATTGGATAATCCAAATTGCCACTAGGTGTGAATGTGCGAGTGAATGTGAGTGTGAATGGTTGTCTGTCCCTATGTGTTAGCCCTGCGACAGACTGGCGACCTGTCCAGGGTGTACCCTGCCTCTCGCCCTATGACAGCTGGGATAGGCTCCAGCGCCCCCCGCGACCCTGAAAAGGATAAGCGGAAGCGAATGGATGGATGGATGGCTATAAAGAGTGATATGAACATAGAGGGCCAAAACTTTCACTGGCAGCTGGTAGAAATAGAGCTCACTCTCTCTGAGGTTGAAGGCGTAGCCCCAAAATCTGCCAGAGGGGCCAAGGGGTTAACGGATGCTGGCTGAACCCTACAAAGATGCATTTGTGTGACTTGCGCTGGAGTCGCAGAACCCCTGTAGCTGGTTACAGGGGTCTGGGCGAGCAGGATCAGGTGGGCAGGTCTGGGATCCATGTTCTTAAAGAAAAGAGAGAAAGTCTTTTTTTCTTTTTCTGGAAAAAAAAAAAGCTAGGGTTGATAACTAATTTATCAGTTAAATTTAAGCCTAAATGTTAGATTATGCAGCCTGTATGTCTTGCCATACTGAACGTTACAAAAGCACAAGTTTAACTAAGCACATTAGTAAGGTTTAACAGATTTTTCACATATACACACTCACATACACACATAGGCGCGTGCACGGGCGCAGGCGCGCACACACCTGTGGACCAGAACAGATGGCATTTTTTGGCCATAAAAACAAGTAAAAACTTTTTTCTTTTGCTTAAAATGAGAAAAGTGTTATTGATGATAAAAATTATATATTTATAACAATTAGATATTTTTTTGAAAATTAAAGAGTTATGAAATATGATAATTTTTATTAATATGATATTGTTTATTAATATGTTATTTTTATGGCTACCATATGTTTTATTGCTTCCTTTATTACTTCCGTGGTCATAAATACTTTTATTGGGGGTCATAAATCACTTGTTTGACATAAGGGGTTTGATATCGATCTTAAATATGATCAATCTATCTCTAATGATCGGCTATGTACCACAGGCCTTCAAGCTAGCTGTAGTTAAACCTTTACTCAAAAAGCCATCTCTAGACCCAGCAGTCTTAGCTAATTATAGGCCAATCTCCAACCTTCCTTTCATATCAAACATCCTTGAAAGAGTAGTTGTCAAACAGCTAACAGATCATCTGCAGAGGAATGGTTTATTTGAAGAGTTTCAGTCAGTCAGAGCTCATCACAGCACAGAAACAGCTTTAGTGAAGGTTACAAATGATCTTCTTATGGCCTCTGACAGTGGACTCATCTCTGTGCTTGTCCTGCTAGACCTTAGCGCAGCATTCGATACTGTCGACCATAATATCCTATTAGAGCGATTAGAACATGCTGTAGGTATTACAGGTACTGCACTGCAGTGGTTTGTATCATATCTATCTAATAGACTCCAGTTTGTGCATGTAAATGGAGAGTCCTCTTCACACACTGAGGTTAATTATGGAGTTCCACAGGGTTCAGTGCTAGGACCAATTCTGTTTACATTATACATGCTTCCCTTAGGCAGTATCATTAGAAGACATAGCATACATTTTCACTGCTATACAGATGACACCCAGCTCTATCTGTCCATGAATCCAGATAACACACACCAATTAGTTAAACTGCAGGAATGTCTTAAAGACATAAAGACCTGGATGGCCGCTAACTTTCTGCTTCTTAATTCTGATAAAATTGAGGTTATTGTACTCGGCCCTGAAAAGCTTAGAAATATAGTATCTAACCAGATTCTTACTCTGGATGGCATTACCTTGGCCTCCAGTAACGCTGTGAGGAACCTTGGAGTCATTTTTGACCAGGATATGTCCTTCAATGCACATATTAAACAAATATGTAAGACTGCGTTCTTCCATTTGCGCAACATCTCTAAAATTAGAAATATCCTGTCTCAGAGTGACGCTGAAAAACTAGTTCATGCATTTATTACTTCCAGGCTGGACTACTGTAATTCATTATTATCAGGATGTCCAAAAAACTCACTGAAAAGCCTTCAGCTAATCCAAAATGCTGCAGCAAGAGTACTGACAGGGACTAGAAAGAGAGAGCAGATTTCTCCCGTTTTGGCTTCCCTTCATTGGCTTCCTGTTAAATCCAGAATTGAATTCAAAATCCTGCTCTTCACATACAAGGTCTTAAATAATCAGGCCCCATCTTATCTTAATGACCTTGTAGTACCATATCACCCTATTAGAGCACTTCGCTCTTGCTCTGCAGGCCTACTTGTTGTTCCTAGAGTATTTAAAAGTAGAATGGGAGGGAGAGCCTTCAGTTTTCAGGCCCCTCTTCTGTGGAACCAGCTTCCAGTTTGGATTCAGGAGACAGACACTATCTCTACTTTCAAGATTAGGCTTAAAACTTTCCTTTTTGCTAAAGCATATAGTTAGGGCTGGACCAGGTGACCCTGAATCCTCCCTTAGTTATGCTGCAATAGACGTAGGCTGCCGGGGGATTCCCATGATGCATTGAGTTTTTCCTTTCCAGTCACCTTTCTCACTCACTATGTGTTAATAGACCTCTCTGCATTGAATCATATCTGTTATTAACCTCTGTCTCTCTTCCACAGCATGTCTTTCATCCTGTCTTCCTTCTCTCACCCCAACCGGTCGCAGCAGATGGCCCCGCCCCTCCCTGAGCTTGGTTCTGCCGGAGGTTTCTTCCTGTTAAAAGGGAGTTTTTCCTTCCCACTGTTGCCAAAGTGCTTGCTCATAGGGGGTCATATGATTGGTGGGTTTTTCTCTGTATCTATGTATCTAGGTGACTTATGTTGTGATTTGGCGCTATATAAATAAAATTGAATTGAATTGAATTGAATATCCCTCTTTCTGTGCAGCAAGCAACAGGCGCACCTCAGAAACGGAGGGTGCCCTTACTCGCAGCAAATGAGCGGGAGTAAAAAAAATGCATATTTTCCCCAATCATGCTGCACTTTCAGAAGTTTTACAAATGAATATTGCAGTGGAGGTTCTTTTTTTTCCCTTTTCTTTTCTTTTTTTTTTAATCAACCCTGACATCATGCCCTGGCATGATATTAGGGTTATTTTTAGTCACAAGGGAGGCGTGGTCTTAAAAGTATTTAAGCAGCTGTTTGCCTCTTCTTCTGCATCTCAGTGTCAGATAACCAAAAGGCTCCCAGATGATTCCGTTTTGGACTCTCGGATTTGGTAGGCGAATTTCCCACCTTTACTGAAATAGATTTTGAATAATTTGAATAATTTATTTTTCTTAACTTTACAGTAATTCTTATCTGCCTGTTCTTTCAGTTTGTTTAATTATTGACTTCAGCACTGCTCATGGTAAGTAGGTTTTATTTTTATTTATTTATTTAATGAGCTCAGAATAAAGGGCCACTGATGTTTGTTGTGAGCTTGCCTGTGTTAAAGAAAGTGGAGATAAAACAAAGCACCATGTGTAATTTAAAATGTAAATCATATACTCATTAAATTAAAGCATTATTATTTTAAAAATAAATGCTCTTTGTTTATGTGTAAAGCCTATTTAATCTATTTGAAATATTAATTTAACTAAATCTGAGTAAGCGGTGAGTGGATGCTTAGAGGGGGCTTTTTTTTTTCTTTTTTTATGAAAGAATTTCATGAAAGTACACAGAAAAGGTTTCCATAGCCAGGTACCAAACTATTATTATTGTTGGGTTTTTGCTTTGTGTTTTTCACTTTCAGCTGTGTTTGCAAACCTTTGTCGGGAATGCGCTGCCTGTGTTTCGTCATAAGATAATAATTTACAGGGGCGTTATAGAAAAGTGAAAGGTAATTGATTTGGCAGAGAGTTATGCGTGTATGCGGTAAACTGATACTGTACTCGTCTCTAAAGAAGAACTGGGGGGCGTTTTTGTTTTTCATCTTTTAAAGTCTGAACAATGCTGAATGTATTATATTCGTTTAGAACACCTGCTGACATATTAACACGTTTTAGCTTGTTAATGCCATGACTCACACCTTTGACTTTGCATCTGTTGGCAGAGCCTGCAGTTGGAGAAAATGCAGCCTCCAAAAACCACTGTTCTCGGTAAGTCGACTCTTTCTCAATTGTTTCTCACAAGTTGTGTTAAAACAACCCCCCCAAAAAGTGATGTATTTCGACCATTATTAGGTCAAGCACTGACCTGGCGGCTCAGGGAACCCATGACGATTATGATGTTCCTCAGAAGAATAGGATAAACAAATAAGGGGGGTGAGGGGGCGGGGGGAGTCCAGCATCAATAAATATATAGTGTTCAAGTTAAAAGTTTAACTACTAAATAGACAAACAAGTAAATTATACATTTCACATCACATTGGTGTAAAGTGACTGTTGGACCAGGACTGGTTCATAAAGTATTTCTGAAAATTTCTCTGGAGCACATTTCAGTAAACTAAAGTAATCTAAACACAAGACACTGGAAATAGGAAACTATCAGAATCAGGGGCGGAGCGGGGGGGGTGGCTTACTGGGCTTAAGCACGGGTTGTTTTTTCAGAAGCCCAGGGTCTTTTGGAGTGTAATCTTTTCATAGTTAGATGCCTGGCTGACACTGTATAAAACAAAAACTTCACACAATATTCGAAGCACATAGTGCACACATCGGGAATTTACGACTGTGCGTAAATCCCCCCTAATATTGGTATGATCCGAGCTCAGACACTAAGCGGGCGGGGCAGCTGCTGCCTGCGAGTGTGCCGTTAGAGAAACGCAGCCAGGCAGACAGAGGAGAACTGAAGTTCGACCAGGTACCAAAGAAAATCATTCGTACTGTACAAATAATGTAAATATGACGGTGTATCATGAAAGATTGATATCCAACTGATCACTTGACCAATATTACGTTACTTGCTCTTCGAGTGAATCAACAAATAATTAATAAATCAGTTTCAGTAATGTACTGATATACAAGAATGGACATAAGGGGCTTCTTTCAAAGAAAAAACTCTGGTAGTATTTTATATATTATGCTTTGGATGTTGTTCAGTATATTTCTGTGCAAAACAAGAGGAATTTCAATACACAGCAGTATATTCACAGTTTAAACCAGATATTTACATACACTTTATGGAAAACACAAGAACATTTTTTTTACTGTACATCATCAATTTAGAGTAAACTTGTTTTGTTTTGGTTAAATAAATATTGAAATATCTTTTGAATTAGTTAAATGTCAGAATAAAGAGAGACAGAGCTGTCTATTTTTATCACTTTCATCAAATTTAGGAGTACATATACACTAAGTTTATTGTTAATTAATAAGAAAACTCCAGACGATTCCATTCTGAGCTGAAGAAGCTTCTGATAGGTTAGTAGAGTCCATGTGAGTAAATTGGTGGCACACCTGTGGATGCATATAAGGCAAAACACAGAGCCTGTTTCTTTGAAATGGGAAAATTAAGAGATGTCAACAAAAACACCAGGAAAAGAAATGGTAAATGGCCTGTATTTATATAGCGCTTTACTAGTCCCTAAGGACCCCAAAGTGCTTTACATATCCAGTCATCCACCCATTCACACACACTGGTGATGGCAAGCTACATTGTAGCCACAGCCACCCTGGGGCGCACTGACAGAGGCGAGGCTGCCGGACACTGGCGCCACCGGGCCCTCTGACCACCACCAGTAGGCAACGGGTGAAGTGTCTTGCCCAAGGACACAACTGTCCAAGCCAGGGCTCGAACCGGCAACCTTCCGATTGCAAGGCAAACTCCCAACTCTTGAGCCACGATCGCCCGCTAGAACTGTGGAGCTCCATAAGTGTGGCTCAATTATGAATACAATTTGGTGCCATTTGCAATTAAGAAATACAGATAGTTTCTCTCTTTACTCTTAAAGTTAACAAATATGTTTTTATATTTATCAATCTAAAAAAAATAAACATTTAGTCTGATTTGATGTTACAATTAAAAAAGTGTTTTTATCTCAAGAGTAAGTAAATATCTGGTTTCAACTGTATATTTGATGATTGTCAGCACAAAGAGGGAGAGAGAGGAACAGAGATGGAACAAGAGCAGGTGAGACACACATGTTAGTCAAATGGTTGTTTACCAAAAGTATCACCGTATCATAGGTACTCATGTATCTAGTACCTAGTGTTTCCTTTTAGGTTTGTTATTTTTCAAATTCTATATTTATTAAGTTGTGCAGGCTTGTTTCAAAGGAGCTTGCAAAGAAAAGCGTCTGGACTTCTTTAAGTTACTTGAAGACGTTTCACCTCTCATCCGAGAAGCTTCTTCAGTTCTAAGGTCAAATGGTGGAGAGTCCCAGATATAAACCTAGTGGGAGTAACTCCCCACAGAGGGACAAAAGGACCCCCCGATGATCCTCTAATCGCCTGAGCCAAGGTGTGAAACTGGGTGTGGGTCACAATCAGCCAGAGTTTCGGGTGAGTTCATTGTGAAACCTGGCCCCACCTTATCATGCGAATTCCTGAGGTCAGATGGCTCAGGATGTGAGTGGGCGTTAAGGGGTCTGGGAAGGGATCTCAAAACTGGATTATAGATGGCAGAGAGTTGGTGTCGTAAACCACCGCCTCTGTTCAAAGATGGTCGCTCACAGTGGACATAGATGGCTTCTTTCACTCCTCTTTCAAACCATCTGTCCTCTCTGTCCAAAATGTGAACATTGGCATCCTCGAAAGAGTGTCCTTTATCCTTAAGATGCAGATGGACTGCTGAGTCTTGTCCTGTGGAGGTGGCTCTTCTGTGTTGTGCCATGCGCTTGCAGGCTTGTTTGCACAACAAGGCTAAATGTTTGCACAACAAGGCTAAATGTTTGCACAACAAAGCTAAATAATTATAAAAACTTTTTTCAATCTAAATATTGTACTTTGGTAGAATTAAAAAATAAGTGTAGTGCAGGTCTATGATGATTTTTAGTGCTACTATCATCTAGTTCTGATTGTGGTTCTGTCTTGGTTAAGTCCTCAGTAGTCCTGGTTTTGAACTGTTGTAGTCCTGTTTTAATTCCGGATCAGTTCTGGGTCTGGTTGAATTGGGGTTTAGTCCTCGTGTCTTGATACAGCCCCGACTTTGTTCTGCCTTGCTGCTTAATTAAAAAACTAGTTTAAGGTGATACGTGATATGTGATATATATTTTTCCTATATGAAGTCATTCTTTTTTGAACAAAACTCAAAACAGAGCCCATTAATCTTTTTTATTCATTTCTACCCCCCCCCCCCCAAAAAAAAAAAAAATTCCCACATGCATACTACCCTTTATGGCTAAGCCCCGGGTGTTTCAAATGTTTGGCTCCGCCTCTGCTGCAAACAGGCAGAGATGTGTGTTATGAAACCCACAGGCATCAAACTCACCTGACTGAACAGAGAGCAACCTTAGTTTATTGGCCAATCTTTTACACACACACAGCAACTTCCAACATGGCAACCTATCCACCTCTCATCCAGCAGTCCACCTTTATATACTCTTAGACCACGCCTTCTCAATTCAAACTGGCCTATGACAGAATCCCTCCAGAGAGGAGGAAAGAAAAACAAAGAAGATTAGTTTTCCTAAAATGATCATTTACTTGTCAAAATGAAGCAGACATGTCATATATACATACAGAATTTAAAGGTCATTTCACATTTCAAATTACTTTGAAGTTCTGCAAATGGTTGAGCAACCAAGCACCTACTCTTCCTAGCTCACATCCTATAAAAAAGCTGCCTTTTTTATAGGATTTTCGGGCTTCCTGAGAAGCTAGAATTATGGGCAGGTTGTGGGGCATCAAATACTAATTTCACTTAATGTTATGTAAATCAATTTATGACATTTATGTAAAGTTTGTTTTCTGGATTATTGACTTAACCCTTCATGGTATACATTCAGCAAGTTGCTGGGAACATTCTTCAGAGATTTTGGTGAATAATGACTTGATAACGTCAAACATTTGCTGCAGATATCTCTTTGAAAGAGATCTCTTTCAATCACATCCCAAAGGTGCTCTGTTGGATTGAGAACTGGTGACTGCGCTAGTCATTTAAGTACAGTGAGCTTGTCATGTTCAAAAAACTAGTTTGATATGGTTTGAGACTCATCAGAATATTTTGTCAGTCTTCTGTTTTCCAATTTTAGTGAGTCCTGAATTCTAGTTTCAGTTTCCTGTTCCTAGCTGACAGGAGGAGCAGGCGTGCTCTGCTTAAAGGTTTGACATGTTATGTTCAGAGATGTTTTTCTGCATATCTTGTTTCTTGGTTGTAACAAGTTGTGATTTCAGTTTCTGAAATAGTCAGAACAGACTCTCCAGCATCAACAACCATTCCATGTTCATAGTCACTTCAGTTTCAACTATCAGCAGGTTTTCTTGAGCATGTCTACATGTCTAAATGCTCTGAGTCGCTCCCTTTTAATTAGGTGATTGGATATTAGCATTAAAAAGGAGCAGAACGAGTATACTTAATGAAATAGATAGTGAGTGTAAATGCACTGCTGTTGACATACAGTTATAGATTCTTTTTCTTTTTTTGACAGCTCCCTTTAGGAGTTGCAAAAACTGATCATCTTCCTCCATCTCACCCTATCTCTTCTATCCTCTTCTATCACACCAGCCCTCTGCATTTCCTCCTTCAATATATTCACAAATCTAATCTGGGATCTTTTCCTCTTGCCTGACAGCTTCATATTTAACATTCTTTATCCTTTGTCCAGTATATCCTGCGTGCATTCTCTTCTTCACCTCCACCACCTGCACTGTCTATTGCTTTTGATTTAAACTTGTTTACCTTCACCAAATCTACTCTTATGTTATAATGTTATGTATGTGGAATAGAAATGAGTGACAGGGATAATATCCTGGGTTTTGTTATCTGTGCTTTTTTAGAAAAGACTGCAATGGAACACAGTATGACATCCAGGAGGCTGCTTGCTGTGAAAACAAACTTCATCCAGGTTCAAATCTGTTTTGTTGTGGAAAGGAGCCTTACAATCCTGCTACAGCCACTTGTTGTAAAGTTCAACATGGAAAGATCATCACAGGTAATGAATTTGTGAATTAGCTAACTAAAAGCCAATGTTAATTTGACTTTGTAAATGTGAAAGAACCAGAGTGACTGAATGTAAAGAAGCAGCTTCAGTGTTTTACTGGTTTGTTGTTTTCATTTACGCTTCAGGAATCAGAACGGTCTCTTTAAACTCCTGTTTTGGTAGCTGCAGTTTGCAGAGATGTTAAATTGCACTGCTTGAGATTAAAAAGGTTAATATTAATACTTTACAAATTAAACTTGCAGATGATTGTATAAACTTCCTACTTTGGTTTGAAAAGCTACATTACGTTTAACCCCCTTACCCAATCAGCAATGACTTTGATTCAACTTGAAGCATATATATTGTGCTTTATAAGACAAGAAACATCCATGTAGCAGCCCTTGGCATCAAGAACGACAGAAGAGTCTCTAACGGGTGCAGCCATTTATTTCCTCACCACACACGGCTCATTCTCTGGACGTTGAGCACCGTGAAAACTATAAAATAAGAAAAAATTGATACCCGTACAGTACCTTTTGAACTATAACAATGAGCAATAACAACAATGAGCTTAAGTTAATTCAGGCAAGTTCAAACAAGTAATTCTGAGATATACAGTCACAGATTAAATAAAACAAAAGGGGTTACTTCAAACAGCATCAAGGGATTACACAGTTCAGTTAAATAAAATATAACAACAGATCATCTCTCATCACATACCTCAGTCCGCTTGCCAAGGGTGCAAAACTCCGGTAAACACTTAAACACTTTGGCCCATTTCTCATGGGGTGCTGCTAGCTTGCATGACACACATGTCTAGCTAAAAAATAGCACATGGATGTAAGTAACGTAAATACAGAATAAAAAGGTTTTCAGATAGCTCACAATACAAACGCAGCAACATACCTTACATTAGAAACACACTTATCATACTTATCAAAGTATTATCGTAACTTACATGGACTTTGTTCAACTTATTCCTGCCGCGACAGACTGCTCTATACGCGTTACGGGGCATGCCTCTGAGCACATCTGTCCTTCGTGTGACTGCGCATACAGTTCCGACAACCCCTGCAAGGATGACTTATGGTACAGATCAGCGGTTCATTACAATCCAAATATAGAAGACAACCACATCTAAATTTTAAGAGTCTGCCAAAAAAATATTCATCATTGATCGATCCATCTGCTAGCGCTTAGTGTTAGATGTTTCAATTTATTTACGGGGTTAGGGTTCGGCAGAAGAAGTTTATTTTAGTTTTTCGTTAAGTCATTCTTGCATTCTTCCATTTCTTTCTTATAATGGTTGTAGTACATGAAGAAATACAACAAAAGATTAAAAATTTATCGTCACAGTTTTCATCCAGCCCATAATTTATTCCAAGCAAGAGATTTTAAGCTCAAATATAAGAAAAACCTACCGGGCAAGGCAAGGCAAGGCAAATTTATTTGTATAGCACAATTCAACAACAAGGTGATTCAAAGTGCTTTACAGAGACATTAGAAATAAAAACAAATAAAAAGCATGATTTAAAATTGATTAAAACAAGCAAACAAACAAACTAACTAAACACACACATTTCACACCTGTTCGCGCGATCTGAACCCTTATCGTAAGGGGAGCTACCAGTCCTTCTGTGGACGAGCTACTTTCTATTTTAAATTCCCTGAATTTAAAATACTCTCTAGACCCAGTCTAGACCCAGTTGGGGAGCTACCCAGAGCTCTAAACCCACTTAACAAACAAACAAACAAACAAACAAACAAACAAACAAACAAACAAACAAACAAACAAACAAACAAACAAACAAACAAACAAACAAACAAAACAGTATATAAAATCAAAACAGATAAAATCAGAACAGTAGATAAAATCAGTAGTTAATGTAAGTTTTGACCGGGATACGTTTAGACTAAGGAGCTTGGAAAGAAAAAGCGTCTGGACAGAGGGACAAAAGGACCCCTGATGATCCTCTACCTAATCACATGAGCCAAGGTGTGAAAATGGGTGTGGGTCACAATCAGCCAGGGTTTCGGGTGAGCTCATTGTGAAACCTGGCCCCATCCTATCATGTGATTTCTTGAGGTCAGATGGCCCAGGATGTGAGTGGGCGTTAAGGCGTCTGGGAAGGGAACTCAAAACTGGATTAAAGATGGCAGAAAGTTGGTGTCGTAAACCACCGCCTCTGTTCAAAGATGGTCGCTCATAGTGGACGCAAATGGCTTCTTTCAATCCTCTTTCAAACCATCTGTCCTCTCTGTCCAAAATGTGAACGTTAGCATCCTCGAAAGAGTGACCTTTGTCCTTAAGATGCAGATGGACTGCTGAGTCTTGTCCTGTGGAGGTGGCTCTTCTATGTTGTGCCATGCGCTTGTGAAGTGGCTGGGCATTCCTCGCTGCACTGTACAGCATACACCACATTGTTACGTTTGTGTTTAGGAGTTTTGTCTTTCGGGTGAACCAGTTTCTATCTGAGTGTGTTGCTGGGTCTGAAGTACACTGGGATGTCGTGCTTGGAGAAAACTCTCCTGAGTTTCTCAGATACACCAGCTACATAGGGGATGACAATGTTGTTGCGTCTGTCTTTCTTATCCTCCCTCGCTGGTGTCTGATCTTCTTTTCTGTGCATCTTTGCTGATTGTGACCAACACCCGCTTTCACACCTTGGCTCATATGATTAGGTAGAGGATCATCAGGGGGTCCTTTGTCCCTCTTTGGGGGGAAACTCCCACTGGGTTTAAATCTGGGACTCTCCACCATTTGACCCTTAGAACTGAAGAAGCTTCTTGGATGAGAGGTGAAACGTCTTCAAGCAACTCAAAGAAGTCCAGACACTTTTCTTTCCAAGCTCCTCAGACTACGATGACCTATCTGACTGAGAACCTTCACAGACAGATACTTTTAGATTCAACTGTTTGCTTCTTTAAACTTCTGAACTTCCTTGCAGTGATTTCATTACCATAAACCACTCGCCATAACAAATTTTCTGTTGTTTACAATAAGTTATCTTGTTTTTACAGCTAGTATTACTCAGGGTCTGAGTGAGAAGGCGTCCAAGTGCTGTGACCTGAAGGCCTACAACCCAGTCAATGAAATATGTTGTCAATCAACCATCATATCAAAACCTGGACCAATGGCTGAATGCTGTGGTAAAGGTGAGCAGACACACAGTTGGAAAAGAAGACTAAATTACATCTTCATTACAAATCATTGCTGTCAGTGAAATGTTATTAATTAAACACAGAAACATTATTGTTTTTTCAGTAGAACAATTTTACAATTCTGTGAAATGTACTCCATTCAAACATTTTGAGGATACTGGAGCAGCTTCTCAGTTGAGTTATATTTGAAGTAAAAATTTTAAAAATGACAATGATCTTTTCCACAGATGTTTTTGATAAGGACAAACAGTTGTGTTGTGGTCCAGCTGATAATAAGACAATTCTGGTGAGGAATTCCCGTCACCATGAGTGCTGCGGTCACAGCCAGTATGACACTGAGACTCAGTGCTGCTGTTCAAATGAGGAGAAGTTGGAGATACAATCGAAGGATTCATCCTGCTGTGTCAGGAATTTCACTCCAGGTCAGCTCAGTACATAATAGCATGTCATACTTTGCTGAATGGATTTCATGACATTTTTTTGTAGTTTGAGTCCAACTTTACATATCAGTCTTTAGGTATGTCAAACTGTATGTATGGTTACATTTGCTAAAAAAGAAAAAAAAAGAGCTTTCGATTAGTTTGCTTGCAGCAAATTTTCCCTTTTCCATTTTCCTTTGGATGGTTAAAGGAAGCTTATGCTAATTACTGTGAGTGAAGCCTGTATGTTGACTTTGTCTTTCCCTCTACAGGCCTTTCAAGTGGAAATACCAACTTCAACAAACCATCACCAAAGAATGGAAGTTGTGGTGAAGGTGAGTAGAGCTGATAAGACCTTATAATCCTGAATGAAAAAGCAGTCTTTAATGGATATCATTTATGAAAAACATGTAAACCGAGCATTTAGTTTAAAGAGCTGATCATTTACTGAGATTAACATATTTAATCTTAAAAACAGAGATTCCACAGAGATTTACAATATGGAAAATAAGTTGTGTTGTGGTCCAAATAATGATAAAAAGATCCTGACAAGGAAGTCCAGAGATCATGTGTGCTGTCATCATGGCCAGTTCAACGTCAAAACTGAGTGCTGCTGTTATAAGAATCATAGTGCTGAAGTACAGTTGACGAATTTGTCTTGCTGTGAGTCAACTATATTTTAATATCAGAACTTGTCATTTATTTTTAACAAAATAAAAACCTAAACACTTATCATACCACACTGTGATTCTCAAATTAAGTATAGTACTTTTATAGGGGTTTTATAGGGGTTTTTGTTTGTTTGTTTTGGTTAATGAAAACTCTTTGTGCTTTATATCCACAGGTATGAAACAGAAGGTAGGTGTTGTGTTTCTTGGGAAGTCCAGGGGACCTCTGGAAGTAACAATAAAAATGTCAAGTTTGAAAAAAGGGACAAGGAGGCAAATCAGGAATAAAATCCTATTTTTTAAAATTAATTATTAAACAGAAATCTGTTTGTGTGTGTGTGTGTGTGTGTGTGGGGGGGGGGGGGGGGGGGGAGGGGTACAATTAGTGTCAGGGTTACAATTAGGTTATGGTTAAGTTTAGACTAAGGGTTATGATTAGGCGTTTATTTTTGATGAGTAGGGTAAGCGGCTAGGGAAAGCATTATGTCAACGAGATACCCCACGAAGATATGAAAACAAGACTCTCTCTCTCTCTCTCTGTGTGTGTGTGTGTGTGTGTGTGTGTGTGTGTGTGTGTGTGTTAAATCTTTTATTTTATTTTTCAGATATTCAAGCTCCAACCCAAATGGTAAGTTAATGAAAACGTTTGGTTGTGGTTCCTCGTTTTTCTTTTCTTTTGTTTTGTTTATTTGTCTCTTTTAATTCTATGTTGTTGTACTTTTTTCAACATGTTCAAAATAAAAAGTTTTAATCAATCAATATAGTTCCACTTTATATACCGTCAGTGCACTTTACATAGTTAAGAACCTTATACAGATAGAAACTCAGCAAGCCCTTTTGAGCAAGCTTTAGTGTGAATGAAACACTCCACTGAAAGATGTACAATCATGCAGGTAACTTACAGACATAACACAAAGTATGACTATTTTACAAAGTAGCAAAGGATTGTTTTGACTATTCATTTAATTTTCTTTATATTCTCAAACGGTCAAAAAAATTAAGTTCAGGTTTTTTGGAGTTAAGAAAGTTAAGAAGTTTTCTGTTTTCCACATTGTTTCGCTTTGTTTTTGCTCCCTGATTACTTTCACTTATACATGATGGTTAAGTTTAGACACTAAAATATTTGGTTAGGTTTGGGAATACATTTTTTGTTTGTTTATTTCGATCAGAATGTATGTCTTTACAATAACCTGAAAGATTAAAAATAATGCTTAGGACACTTAGGAGATCCTTTCCATTTCCACTGACTCCCAAAAAAATATAACTATAGCATGATTGGAGGTCAAGGATTAGAAACCAACCAAACTTCTAGAAAATCATTAAATCCATTACTGCACTGAAATGTGCATAAAATTTGAATATAAGTTGTGCAGCCTACATTATAAAACAAATTGTTTCCATACTTCTTTTCTTTTTTTTTTTTTTTAATTTAATGTGATATGGACTGTTTTGTGTTGATTGTTGCCTGTTTTACACACATCCACAGCACTGAACCAAACACACATCTCTGTGGGTCGTCGTGTTACAATCCAAAGCAAAATCGTTGCTGTGAGAGTAACCACAAGCCTCACTCACTCGACAACTCAGGTGTCACTATCTATTTGTTTGTTTGCCTTTGTTTTGTAGTTGTTTTGGTTGTTACTACTGTATTACATCACTCTGTGGTGTATGTAGTATGTAGTAGAGTAAGTTGAACAAGTAACCTCACCCCAACAAGGCAGTTAGAGCTGAGTGAGCAATTGTGTCTTTGTCATGTTTGTCTTATGTGTATCATTGTAAAAAAACAAAGAATTACTTGAACGCGTCATTTGTTTCTGTGGTACTTATAATTTTGGAAAATACCTCTAGAGGTAAACAGTTAAAACAAAAGAAAGAAGATTGTTTTAAAGAACCTTTAGTGGATTTAGTGGAATGTAGTATTGAGAATGCAAACCGACATGATACCCAAAGAAGCAGTAGCAGCAAAACATAAAAAGAAGGATTTTACCTTCCTACCTGTGTTTGACATATTCATCCCACCCCCTTCTACAATCAGCTGAGCCCATGCTCTAGGATTCTAGCCTTTTTTTTTTTTTTTTTTTGGTCCAAGTTAACAAACTATGAGATCACAATAATGTGATTTTGTCATGATCATTCTTGTAGGAACTTGCATTGATAGTCATGAAACATTACTATGTTATTGTAGCAACAACAGGAAGAAGAAATTGCTCATATAATTATCAGTTATTATACACATTCTTGAGCTTATTCCAGCTCTTGACAGGTCACGGGTCTAATGGTAAATTAAGAGATGATGAGATCATGACTATGCAAGAAATAAGAGGGGGGAAATCAGAAGAATTCTGGGTGTCTGTCTGAACTCGTTCATTGTTAGCGGAAATCAAAAAGTGTAACAATGTTTTTACATCACTTGAAATTCAGGACTGTTCAAAGGATGTGAAAACACATAAGCTCTGACTTCAAAGAGTGAATGAGTTAAAACTTGCTCGCTATATCTCCTTTCTCCTCTTTCTATTCTCTAAACCACCCTGTTTAGGTCAAAGGAAGGCCACAGCTACAGTGTATAACCCACATACTCAGGTCTGCTGCGATGGACGTGTATCTCCGTGGAAGCCTTGGATCGATCAGGTAATGTACTAATTGCTCCCCAGCCCCTACAGGGAAAAATGATCAAACCACCATTTCCACTGAAAGTTGAAAATCTAAAGCACTGTTTTACTGAAGCAGAAAAATGTTTGAAAGCATACATACCTTTTATTATTAAATTCAATCATATAGCTTTACAATGTAGAAAGTTGGCAAGAGTGCTACTCTTTGACAACAGAATTCAGAGGTCCAGGCCACTGCTTTCACACAGTGTCAGAGGCTGGATTCTATCTCTGTTTTCTACGTGTAAAATTCCCTTAACACCGTCCGTGTCACAAGCAATGATGGGAACTCAAGCGCAGAGCAGAGTTCAGTCCCAAAAACAGAGTTTTTGTTTTTACACAATCACCAGGTGCAGAATATTTACAGTGGAGGAAATGCGGGGTTCCTAGGGTCCAGGGGGAAAATCCGGGAAGGGGAAGCTCTCTCACACACGCTCTCTTCTTCACACACGTCCACACAGCGGGTAGTTTATGGGTCCGGGAAAACTATTCATAAGAGAGATTGGTTAAGCAAAATCACAGATTTACACACAAAAGTTCACTGAGGCTAGAGTCTCACTAACGTGTCTTGCACAATCATCCAGTGATGAGACTGTCTGCGTCCTGGCTTTAAATGGCAAACACATAATGGCAGCCTGATGGGCAATAGGTGTGTGGACCAAGGGCGGGAGCCCGCAGAGAGCTCCGCCCATGCAGCAGGGCAAGAGAAAGAGAGAGTAAACAAAAACACAAGTAACCTTGCGGGGCCGGCCGGGCAGACATGGGGACCATGATAGTCCGTATTCATTACTGCCAATGCAAAAGGATCAAAAGTCTGGTAAGGCTAAAAGACTGTAGAAACATAATGCATGGATGTTACATGTATGTAATGCAGAATTTTCGCAAGTGTTTTATGTTCTTAATTTGCATTTTTCATCTGTTTTTTCTTCATAACTCATGCATTTCTCTGTTTAGCTTTGAATGTGTAAACTAGAGAGTCTGGTTGTGTCTGCTTGCACAGTTTACTGTATTATGTCTGATTCTTCAAGTGCTGTGGAGAGACGCCGTATGGCTCGGCACAACGTGGAGTTCTGTGTTGTAATAAGAGCTTGTACGAGGGCAGAGATGATGGAGAGGAATGTTCAGAGATGGGTATTCCTTACAACCCGGCTAAAGGGACCATGTGTTGTTCTCAGTTTCACGGCAGCCCAGGACAACACTGCTGTGGGATAGAAATTTACCAGCCTCATACTGAGATCTGCTGCAATGGACACAGGTGATTGTGTGCATGTGTTCTGTTTACTTGCTTTACATTGGGGTCAAAGGAGCTTGCAAAGAAAAGCGTCTGGACATCTTTAAGTTACTTGAAGATGTTTCACCTCTCATCCGAGAAGCTTCTTCAGTTCTAAGGTCAAATGGTGGAGAGTCCCAGATATAAACCTAGTGGGAGTTTCCCCCCACAGAGGGACAAAAGGACCCCCTGATGATCCTCTAATCGCCTGAGCCAAGGTGTGAAACTGGGTGTGGGTAACAATCAGCCAGAGTTTCGGGTGAGTTCATTGTGAAACCTGGCCCCACCTTATCATGCGAATTCCTGAGATCAGATGGCCCAGGATGTGAGTGGGCGTTAAGGCGTCTGGGAAGGGATCTCAAAACTGGATTATAGATGGCAGAGAGTTGGTGTCGTAAACCACCGCCTCTGTTCAAAGATGGTCGCTCACAGTGGACATAGATGGCTTCTTTCACTCCTCTTTCAAACCATCTGTCCTCTCTGTCCAAAATGTGAACATGTGAATTATTGACCGCCTTACATATCACCGCCTTTACCCAGGGGATGCCATACCCTGCATTTACGGACTTCCTAAAATCCACAAGGAAGCTGTCCCACTCAGACCCATAGTCAGTAGCATAAACTCAGCCACTTATAACATTGCTAAACACCTTGCTACCATCCTTGCTCCTCTCGTGGGGAACACCCCACACCACATCAAGAACTCCACCGACTTCACCGACAAGGTCCAGAAACTTACCCTGGATCCAGATGAAACCATGGTGTCCTTTGATGTAGTCTCTCTCTTCACTTGCATACCCACCACGGAGGCCGTGGAGACTGTCAGAAAACGACTACAAGAAGACAGCTCCTTGGAGGACAGGACCAACTTCACACCCGATCAGATTTGCACACTGTTAGACCTCTGCCTCACCACTACATATTTCAAATACAACGAAGGCTTTTACAGACAAAAACATGGCTGTGCTATGGGCTCCCCCGTGTCACCTATTGTAGCCAACCTTTACATGGAGGAAGTGGAAAGGAAGGCTCTTGGCTCTTTCAAAGGAAGAGTACCCAGCCACTGGTACAGATATGTAGACGACACCTGGGTCAAAATCAAGACACAAGAAGTGGAATCCTTCACTGCGCACATTAACGCTGTGGATAAAAACATCAAGTTCACCAGGGAAGACACAAAGGATAACTGTTTGCCTTTCCTGGACTGCGCTGTGCACATTTTTTTTTTTTTTTTTTTTTTTTTGCCTGTCCCGTTTGGCTCTTTTGCCATCAGAATTGTTGTCTAAAGGCAAAGAAAGATGCCCAACGGATTTACTTTACCAAATTGACCATCCCAGCCTTGCCATAATGGTCCATTTGATTCACCTTTTATTGTTTATTTTATTTTCACTTACTGAATACGGGACAGACTTGACTGGGGGAAAGAAGGGGAGAAGAAAGAGGGAAAGAGAAACAGCTGAGAAGAGGGACGGGGGAGAAGGGCAAAAACCAAAAACCAACAGAATGAGCAGAAAAAGAAAAAAAAGAAGAAAAAAAGAAAAAAAAATGCATATATCAATCACCTGGGTCACCTGCTGAGAAAGAAAAAAGAAAACAAGCAGAAGAGAACAAGAGTGATAGAATAAACAACATCACAATGATATATGGGAATATGACAGTAAATACTAAATATTAAACATTATTGTGCAGCACATAAGATCAACAGAACACAGTGTGCTTTGAGGTAGGAGCCAAAAAGGGTGTAGTTTGTGGGTGTGATCACCCGTGTGTACACCTGTGAGCATGGACGCGTTTGTTTTTTGTTTTTTAAAAGGTTCCTTCATGTAATGATCTGCTAGAGGGTGTGGGGGGGCCACAGCCCCGTCCTCCAGGGCATGAAGCAGGTATGGAGGAGATCAAAACTCCAGACATCCAGAGGCCCCCAGAACACAAGAGACCAAGGAAGACCAACAGAGGGGCAGCCGCGCCACTGTCCCAGAAAGAGCTGAGGAGAGTCCCAGATGAGGGCTCACTCAGCAGCCGCGGAGCAGAAGCCAGGGGAGTTGCAGTGACGCGCCCGTGAGCTCCGCCGGCAGCCAGCCGTGCCTGAGTGACCGAGCCCCAGGCCGAGAGGCCGGGGGCACCCCACCTCCGAAGTGGCCCGAGCAAGCCCCAGGCTCCAGGCCGCCAAGGAGTGAGCCGGTGTGTACCTGGACGCCCATCCCCGGACACAAAGAACCACCAACGCACCGATGTCTGAGGGAGTCCGCCACTGGCAGGGGAAGTGGTGGTAGGGGGAGATAGGCCTCCATACCTTGGAGGGCCTAAGATGTCCCCAGAGAGGTGACGCCTGACACCCGACCTGACATATAGACACAGAAATACAGGCACACACATTTACAAACATCCATTCCCACCCTCATGCTCTCATATACACTTACTCCACACTCAACCAACGTGGAGACAGACATAAAGAGACGCTGTACACACGATCACACTCCCCAAGCGTACTCTAAACCCCGGGTCTAGGTACCCTTGCCCCTGGAGGGGGGGAACTGCACCCAGACCCAGGTGGTGTTACCCTTTTCCCTAGATGAAAGGTTTTTAAGCAAATCTGAGACCAGAAGTTTAGGTCTAAGCTAACTGATAAATCCGCTTCCCATTTTGCAATAGGAAGTGATATTGATTCATCTGTTTTAGAAAGCATTCTGTATATTTTGGATAGTAATTTGGGGGTTTTAAGAGTAAGAAATTGAACCACACTTGGTGGTGTTTGTAGTTCAACTTGACCCGGTTTAAATTTCTTTTTTACTATGGATTTAATTTGTTGATATTCTAAAAATCTTTTCTTGTTGATCCCATATTGTGTAACTAGTCTGTCAAATGAAATAAATTCTGTTCCTTCTAGTATATGTTCTAAATATTTGATTCCTTTACCACTCCAATCTGAAAAGTTTATCATATTATTGTTTTGTAATATGTCAGGGTTGTTCCAGATAGGTGTACGTTTGCATGGGATTAATGAAGACGCTGTCAATTCTCTTCAATGTGCACAGCGCACATTGAAGAGAATGGCAACCTCAACATCGAAGTTTACCGGAAGCCCACACACACGGACCAGTACCTCCTGTTCGACTCCCATCACCCTCTGGAACACAAACTTGGAGTAATTAGGACCCTACACCACCAGGCAGAACATGTTCCCTCTAAGCCTGAAGGAAAAAAGAAGGAACACACACATGTAAAGGAAGCACTCAAAACGTGTGGCTATCCTAAATGGGCGTTCTTAAAGTCAGCAAAGAGGCACAGAAAAGAAGATCAGACACCAGCGAGGGAGGATAAGAAAGACAGACGCAACAACATTTTCATCCCCTATGTAGCTGGTGTATCAGAGAAACTCAGGAGAGTTTTCTCCAACCACGACATCCCGGTCTATTTCAGACCCAGCAACATGCTCAGACAAAAACTGGTTCACCCGAAAGACAAAACGCCTAAACACAGACTTAACAATGTGGTGTATGCTGTACAGTGCAGCGAGGAATGCTCAGACCTCTACATTGGAGCGACCAAACAGCCACTTCACAAGCGCATGGCACAACATAGAAGAGCCACCTCCACAGGACAAGACTCAGCAGTCCATCTGCATCTTAAGGATAAAGGACACTCTTTCGAGGATGCCAATGTTCACATTTTGGACAGAGAGGACAGATGGTTTGAAAGAGGAGTGAAAGAAGCCATCTATGTCCACTGTGAGCGACCATCTTTGAACAGAGGCGGGGGTTTACGACACCAACTCTCTGCCATCTATAATCCAGTTTTGAGATCCCTTCCCAGACGCCTTAACGCCCACTCACATCCTGGGCCATCTGACCTCAGGAATTCGCATGATAAGGTGGGGCCAGGTTTCACAATGAACTCACCCGAAAATCTGGCTGATTGGGACCCACACCCAGTTTCACACCTTGGCTCAGGCGATTAGAGGATCATCGGGGGGTCCTTTTGTCCCTCTGTGTGGGGAAACTCCCACTAGGTTTATATCTGGGACTCTCCACCATTTGACCTTAGAACTGAAGAAGCTTCTCGGATGAGAGGTGAAACATCTTCAAGTAACTTAAAGAAGTCCAGACGCTTTTCTTTGCAAGCTCCTTTGACTATGATGGCCTGGATGACTGAGAACCTTCACAGACATATTGCTTTACATTGCTGATAAAATCCACTGAAAAGGGATTTCTTCTTTTGTTTTATCTGATTAGTATCTAATGGCTCCTGTTTTGAATTTAGTCAGTCAGAGCAGCTGGGAGCATGGAAACTAGTTTAATGTATTGTCTTCTGAGTGAGAGAGAGAGAGAAGAGAAGTAGAATGAAACATTTTTCATAGCTGATGATTTCATATGGTTTCTAAGACACACAGACAGTTGCGTAACAAACTTTTCCCTGCCTTCGTTTGGTTCCCAGGACTCTTAAAATACATTTCTTTCAGTCTGTGTGGTGTCTCATTGTGTTCCGTGTCTTGTTTCTGTGTGGTCATGACTCATCTTAGAGCTAAAGTATTTAGCTATTGCATCATTAAGTATTTTGCAATTTGAAGTGACACATTTGAATTTAATATATAGATTATTGCCCAACTCACCAGGTATTTTTACTCAGGATTCACTTTTATGGTTATGTCTGTTGGAGTTGAACTGGTTGACTTTTTGGCTGCTCTTGAGTCTGTTTCCAGTTGCAGTAGCTGTCAAAGTGCATTTGGTATAAATGCATTCTATGTAGACAATGACTGAGAGCTTAAAGTGGAGCTCTGATGTTCTGCTTTCAGTGCACAGCTTGTGTAAAGACTGTTAAATGAAGAAGTTAGCTTCCAGAATGACATCCAACACTATACATAAAGACTCTGTCACAGGATAACCCATGCCTCTTGAGGACTAAGACTGAGTATGGCCCACAAAACACTAAGATGGCAATTTCTATTGTTTTATATCTAGCCGAAAGAATAGAGTTGTCTCAGTGAATGTGACACTAATGCTGCTGTGAACCACTTCTTTATTAGTTTGTTTCAAGTGGTAAGTAGGTTAGATAAAATACATATTTCTGGTAATGTTAGCATTTCCCAAGTCATCATCTTCATACTATAACATAATTGTGCAGGGGGCCTATGCATTCAAAACTATTTATTGCAAAGTTAAATTGTCAGTATTGACAATTCAACTTATCTGGGATGTTTGAGGTTTACAGAGTAAACCTCAAACAGGAAAACAGTAAACAGGTTTACTCTGTTCCATAATGCAATCCACTTTGGAGATCCAGACTGCCAAACAGGCAATGATAAGTTCCAAGCCCCTTTATAGTAGGGGGGATTGGGATCTTACCAGGTAAGCCTTTTAGAGTTTCATGTAGTTGATTTATAGTTTTCCATAGTTTTTTTTTTTTTTTTTAAATCTTAAGTTTGTTGGCACAAGTTTCTTCATTGGTTGTTCATTCCACTAACCTGGTAATCACATTTTTTTGTAAATGAACTGCATGCAAGAATTCCAGCCTCAAAGTGTGTTTCCTCCATTTCATCTGTTGCCTCCTTACAGACTCATCTAACTCAGCCTCTTACAGACATAATTATTTATTTTTGTCCTTATTTGATATTAATGTGTCCCGCTGTTTTCCAACCAGACATCTGAAATCAGAAAACATTCACTGCTGTGGGGTCAAAGCCTACAACATTAAAGACCCACAGATGAAGTGCTGTGCAGGAACACTGTACAATCTGACATCATTAGACAAGCATGGAGGGGATGCGCAGTGCTGCGGATCCATTCTGCAAAAGCCACAGGTAGAATTAGTAATGATGATGAAAATCTGTTGTTTGTTCATCTTATTCGTGTATTCCACTGTATTATGTCATTAGATTTAACACAGCTAAGTTGGCCTCCCTGTCCCATAACTTTTCACACTGTGTGTCTTGTTTACAGTGGCCTATCATTGTTAAAGCGCCTCTTTCTGACTGGTGCCTTCTGCCTCTTGGTGTCATATCAAAATGACGCATAAACCATGATTTGACCAATATGAAAATGGAAAAAATAAACAACTGTTGAAAAGTTAGATTTCTTGAGCTTTTTAACTATCTCAGAGTCCTGTCTGTAATTTTGAAGCAACATGAATAACACTGGTAAAGTAGAGAAACTGATATGGGCCTGAGGGGTAAACAGGAAACCGCAACTCTCTCTCTAACTGCATAACTCTGCATAACTGAACTACAAATCAAAAATATATTTAACTTAAGCACAGTCAGCATAAAGTGAATGAAAACAGCATGATGTAACAAGTGACTCATCACTGGAGCTACTTGGCCAACTGTTAAAAACTTTTCATAAACATTTAGAGGCTTTTTTAAAGCAGATTAATCATCTTCTGTGTACATTTTATGATTCCTTCTGCAAAAGCTAGATTCACAACAATTCGGTAGAGATTATTAGCAAAAGAAGCCATTCTAATCTGAACCAGCAATAATTATCAGGGTTGATGAACCATTCTAATCACTTCCTTTCAAATGCTTCATCTCTCTATCTTGAAACTGTTTGCTGGAGGTATTTACTGTATATTTGACAGTCAGACTGACTTTAGTCAAAGTAATATTTTCTATTAATCTCCAAAAATGTGCCTGATACCAGCTCTGTATCAACATTACAGGCTGAAGTTGACTTTATGGCTTGCCTGAACTAACACAGTGTTCAATGAGTCCAATCAATCATGCTTTTATTTAACATAAAATGCTATATATCTTTTCAAAAACCAGGACATTTGCTGCTCAAATGAGGACAAAGAGGTGCTCTACTCTGCCAAGACAGGGTTCAGATGCTGTGGTCACCTTTACTATAACACCACCCTGTGGTCATGCTGTGCTGGGGGGCTGAGAAGAATCCATGAACCAGGACAGGATCAGAGAAAGATGATTAATGGTCTGTTGTGTCTGATGAGCTGTTCTCTCACAAAGTTTATCTTCAGTGTATGTCATATTATCTCAATGCCTCAGCCCAGATTCTGTATTTAACCAATAATGCACCTACAATGTTCTTTTTTTTTAGGATCCAGACTTCTATCTGTGGATAATCTGAACAAAATCGATCTTTGCAAAGAAAGTAAGATATCATCTGTTATTTAGATTTTTTTTTAAATATCAGAACAAATGCTGTTTACAAGTATATGTAAAGTACTTGTGTGTCTCATTGTTTAGTGCACATTGGGACTGTGGAAAGTGTGTCGCTGCAGAGCATTGTGTTCAGGAGTGTGCTGAAGGTCCATGGGATGGAGGCCAAAGTGAAAGCTCTGCCTTTGCCTTACATCCTGGAAAGAGATGATCGCTGCAGCTCCCCTAAACTGATTGCTGGGAAGACCTACTACTTTAACAAAGTTAATGTTTTCATTGATTTCAATCATGACTCTGTTCTTCAGTCACTCCATTTCATTATTTCCAAATGTTCATGACTAGTCACCACTGGCTGATGTATACGTGGTCAGTGTGGATCTGTTACTCTCGTCTTTGAAGTTCTTTTTTCCCCACATATTTACTCACAGTGTTGGCTTTATCACTCAAAAAAGTAATTAATTACAAATTACATTACACTGGTTAACATTATTTTACAAAGTAATTTGTTACCATATTTATTATGGTTGCATTGCAACCTAATATACTAACCCCAAATCGCTCTCTGATTCACCCATCACAGTGTGAATGTTAGCTCGAACTTAAACACAGGAAGAAGTCGTTGTATGAATGTGTGAATGAGGGACGCTATATAAAGCGCTTTGAGTGCTCAGGTAGGGTAGAAAAGTGTTATATAGAAGAACCTGTCCATTTATCAGTAGTATACAATACTTCACATGATGTGTTGTGCCTGTGTCCAGCCAAACCATGTTGCTCTGTTGTTTAACACATCCCAAGATGTCGTATCACAGACAGAATTTAGGTACTTTAAGTAAAGAAAACAAAAGACAACGTAGCTTTTCACTTCAGTTTTACGGGGATTCACATTGTAGTGATTCACACAACTTGACAATAATCAATACTGTAACACAGCAAGCTGGTGCACAATGTTGTTGCTCAAATCTAAATTTGAACAAAATCTAAATGTAACTTTGTTTCTTGCACTGAACTAAAATATAAGTGACAACTGTTTGCACGTCCTTGAACCATACAACTGAATACTTGCAGTAAAGTCCATGATGTACTGTGATTGTTAATTCTAATGAATGATAAACACTTAGTGCCAATATCAAGAATACAAATATGTTAGAAGGACCCACTAAAAATTCCATGAATTTCTGTTTCTTTGAATGTGATTCATGTAAAATAGTTGTGGAAATGGTAAGGATAGGTATGGGAATTTAAGAATGGTAAGGAATTTAGTAAGGATTTGAGGGACATTTAAGCTATAAGCAAACATAAACACTGCCTGCTTGATTTAGTGCCTTGTTGTTAATATAATATATTGCATAGTTATATTGTAAATGTTTAATATTTGACCGGACCTATTGTCCTTTAAGGATTCAAATAAATAAATACAAACATTTATTTAACCTGCTTTGTTTTCTCTTGTATTCAAATAGCTTCCTGTTACTAAAAAGCAATGTGAGCAAGCAATCTAAAAGGTCTAAAATGATCTACACAACCCTGTGTGTCTCCTTCAGTATCAGTTTAGCTTTTTCCCATTTTAGTTTCATTGTAGTTGTGTATGCTTTCCCAATGTCTGCCAATAAAGCTGTGGCATTTTGAGTTTATCCCTCGTGTCTGCGTTTGGCTCCTTCTCCTGCCTGCACACAGCTGAATCTTGGCATAAAGTTGTTAAGTGTATAAATACAACTGGCGGGATTGCCCCAATGAGTAATTGCATAGACGTTCACTGTGTATGTTTTTCCTTCCTTGCAAGTAAAATATATACGTGTTGAAATTCACTACTCTGTGTGTCTTACTTCACAAGATTTTTTTTTCTAAAAGATTCCTAAAATTCCTAAATACATTTTTTAAAGATTATTTTTATTTCACTTTTTGTACTGGATGCCAAAGTAGAAACGATTTATAAATAAATTAATGCATATTTTGTGTGCAACTTTTAGAAAGACAAATATGTTCACCTTCAGACAGTCTCTATATTGAAATGATCCACTCTCTTTTAGCACTGTTTTTTCTTTCTCTATAAAGCTGGTTGTTTTAGAGCAGCCCCCAGTTCTCAGGACCACAGACTGTCCTCAGCAATTTCTAACAACGTGTTCCGTCTTTATATCAGAAGCACGATTCTCCTTCAGCTGCCTCTCACTGGTTTGAATTGTGAGGCTTTTCAAATCAATGGGAGGCAGAAAGAAACTCGCTCCTTCAGCCTCATCATGGGATTGACTTGATGTACGAAAACATAGCCAGTTTGTTTTAATAGTCATCAGTGTAATCTACCAAAACTGACTTTGATTAATGAGTTACAAATGAGAACCCCACGATAGCGCAGTTGGTGTAAGTGTAAGATCAGGTTTTGCAGATCTAGGATCAAGCTGATGCTCTGTTGTACCAAAACAAACTTTTTTCAAGCCAAATGAATAAATAATAATTATAATAGCTTATTTATTTATTCATTTATTTTTCGGACTTGCATTTAAAGGAGCTGACAACAGAAATTTAGGTATCACTTTCTGTTTATATTATGTTATAACTAAGACTATTATTTCACTTTATAATAATAATAAAAATTATAATAACTATTATTATTATTACTTTCTGAAATTAGTGTGCCACTTACATTTCATACACATGTTCCTTTATATAACAACAATAATATATAATTATATTTGTATACATTCGTATTTGGGGTCTGGTCTCTCTCTTTCTCGCTCTATCTGTCCCTTGCTTCCTTTCCCTCTCTCTTCTCCTTCTGTTCCCTGGGTTTCGTCTGTCTGCACCATACTTCCTGTTTTAGTTTGACAGGCTCGTGCCCTGTGTGTTCCATGTTCCGCTTTGCTTCCCCTGTCTCCTCATTTGATTGTGTTCAGTCGTTCAGTCCTGAACTTTATCAAAAGAGTATGGCTTCATGCATCCTAGCTAATTAGGTTCATATCTTTGGTTAAATAGTGTGAATGTACAACACATTTGCGCCTAACCATTTAATTGCGTTATATAGATATGCTAAACATAAGAGCTCTGTTTATTATTATGTTGTGTCTCAGAAAAAAAGCACAAAAAAGGTGCAGCATTCAGAATGAAGACACTTTAATACTGTGGCTACTTCTTAAACTATTACATTCATATCAACTTCTAGGTTAAATCTGGTATACTTGTCAAATAAAGTTAATAAAGTAATCAGGTATGTCGTGTGACATTACCAAAACTGTTATCAGATTACAAATTGTCTCTTGACTCACCGGAGTCTTAGCCTACAGGTACCACATAGCAGAAATTGCCTGCTGCATTCCGTATTGGCCTCTGTGTCATTACGCCCTAACATCTTCAGTCCTGGCTTATGCAACTAGCATTTTCCAAAGAAGATAAAATGCAGGCTCTATCATGTAAAGAGCAATAAGTACACAAAGCGGGTAGAAACAAGCAGTTTCCCTGCAGGCTCCGGGATAGGCAGAGTATGAGTCTTTCTTCATTGTCATATGCAGAAGTTGTGGGCTGATGTCACTCTTTAGCTGTGTCCCAATTCAGGGTCTGCACGCTTGAAGTACGCGCACTACGTACGGTGCGTACTATAAGTACGAGAAGTGCGGAAGTGAGAGGCTTGTGAAATGGGACGGTATACGCTTCGTCACGCTGTTCAGGTTGCCTAGCAACCATGATACTAACCGCGAGACACGTTACATACAGCTTTGTGTGTATGTATGTATGTGTGTATATATATATATATATATATATATATATATATCTCAATCACTGACTTTCAGCTTGTTGTGTTTGTGGATATATGACTGACTTTAATTATTAAACATTCGCACATAAATAAGTGACGTCATATTCAGTACTTTTGACAGTTCACTCTTCGGCCGCTCCATCTTATTAGGGAAATTCCATATACATAAATGTAAATTTCAAAACTCAACCCCATCATTTGATTTGTTTTTGATTGAAATTGAATATTACTTAAACTTTCTTAAATTAACTTCCAATAAAAAAGGTTTATCATTGATTGAAATTCATTCAGAAATGCTTAACGAATGAGCTGTCACAACTTTCAAGTACAAAGTTGTTATGAAGTCTGTCACATTCCCCCCCTTTTTTTCTTTTTTTATCCTTTATTTATTCAACCTTATTTCATTGTACTGTATATTGTTACTCTTATTTGCCTTGTATGTCTACTGTACAAACTGAACTGGAATGACTGACTGTTCGCTTTATAAGTTCAATAAAGTTTGGAAAAAAAAAACCTCTTCGGCCGCTCCCTTCTGCCGTATTTTGCGGCAAAATTATCCACACCCACCGCCGCGCTATGAATTGTGGGATATATGGGACCACGAAGCGTGCACCGGACCACGCTTGATATTTGGGGAAATCAACGGCGCATTTGGAGTATGCATTTGAAGTACACTTCGAATTGGGACAGCCGTCGTTGCGTGGCGGTGACGTAACCGCACTTGAAATGCGTACTTCAAGCGTGCAGACCCTAAATTGGGACAGAGCCTTTATGTGCTGTAAAATCTATGGAAATGGCAAACAGGCAGGAAACACAGCTGAACATAATCACACGAGACGAGACAGGGAGGGAGCAAAACAGAATAAACTGGTGCAGGGCACGGGACTGTCAAAGGAAATGCTTGAACGTAGGGGACAGAGGATCAATTCTGCGCAAATAATCCCTTGTGTTTCCAATAAAAATCCAGAAAATTGGTCATTTGTGTCTGGCTTTGCTGTTAAGTAGGTTTCACCATCATTGTTGTAAAGTTTTTGCAATTTCAAAATATGGATTTGCAAATGCAAAGTAAGATTTTACTAAATGAAATCCTCAAACGCACACATAACACACAATAACAGGTTTAAGGAACACTGGGAGGTAATTGGAGTTATGTATCAGATGGTTTGGTCAATGTATCTGTTGTCTTCTACAAGTAGTTACCAACAACTTACCAAGACAAACACATTTAAGGACGAACCTCTGTTGTAACCTCTGTCATCAACTTGAGCTAGCAATTTTATATATAATTTTAAAAGAACTTTGACAAGTCAGTGTTGATGTGTAATCAGTCGTTTGAGTTTTAATAAGGAGCAGTTGTTATATGTCAGTGATGGACAATAGGCCAAAGACACATATGACAGGTTAAATATTCTACTGGGTGATTAGGTCTCTATAGCATCAATTTTTAGACCTTATAGACCAGGGATCAGCAACCTTTAAGACCCAATGAGCCGTTTGGACCCGGTTTCCACGGAAAAGAAAACACTGGGAGCCGCAAATACTTTTTGACATCTAAAATGAACATAACACTGCATACATTGTTTTTTTACCTTTATGCTTTGTATAAACAACTATAAAGTGTTGCTTATGAAATCCATGAAGTGCTACAAAGAAAATGAAATTTTATTGTAATGAACACATTTTGAAATCTTAAAAAAAAAAATTACAAAAAAGAAAGACATCCAGTTGAAGGTCTCTTTGAAATTAATTAAAAAAGCTGAACTTAAATTATCCATGTAGCAAACAAAAACTGAGCCGCCATCCTTATTGGCCTACAGTGCCTCTGCAGAAGAGGTGGACGCACCTGAGTGTCCGCAATCACGCCTCGCCACCTTAAAGTCTGTGCTCTCTCCACTGTTGTGTTATGTGTCGGGCTGTGTGCTGGAAAGCTAAAGCTAGCTGCATGTGTACAGCAACTGTGTGTGAAAAGTAGTCAATAAAGAGAAGCCGAAAAGCATGTTCATGCAAACATCATCGGGTCTGCCGTGACAAGTTTTCCATGGGACTTTTGCTCCTGAACCTCTGCACACAGCGTGTGCAGACCGGGGCTGTACGAAGTCACTTTTGTCTTTACGCAGGACTGTAAGCTGTCTTCTGCGAGGTGTGAGCGGTTTTTGTTTTTAATAATAGTTCATGGTGGAGAATAGCTGCTCAAATACGTATGTGGATCTGAAGATCGACAATCCACAAATTAGGCATACTGGTAGGCTGCTCTCGTCAGAAGTAAACGCAAATAAATCTGCCCAGGCATCATTAAATGTTCTATTTTCTTCAGATATTTTTCTTTTCTTACATTTCTCCATACCTGGCCTACCTGGCGTTTCGGTGAGTAGTGTATCCTTATTTTGAGCGACGAAAAATAATAAAATATCATTTTATTTTTATATTTCAATATCAGGATAATCTTCCAATTTAGAACAAGTTAAACAACACAAAAAACAAAAAACAAAAAAAACAAAACAAAAAAAACCCCCACAAATGAAATACACTTCAGCTAAATACTTTTACAATTTATTTTCCCAAACCACGGAGCCGCAGTGTAGAGACAAAAGAGCGGCATGTGGCTCCAGAGCCGCAGGTTGCTGACCCCTTTTATAGACTATTTGGTCTATGTAGGTTTCTAAACATGATAGTTCAGTATATTGGTTAAAATAAACTAGAAAGGTATCTTACTATAATATTAGGGTTAGTTTGAAAATTATATGCTGGTGTCCTTTTAAAGTCTAAATCTTTAAAAGGACATTATGTCCTGTTAACTATGCAATATAAAATTGTAACCAACATATTCAAACAGGCAGTTTTATCAGTTTCTCCTGCTTATAGCGTGAATGTCCCTCACATATTCACTAAAGAAACACTTCCACTACTATATCATCCATTACATCACATGAATCACGTTCTCATGTAAAAATAACTTCTCCTTAAACT